TTTGAAACCCGGTCTCTGTGACTCCACATCCCACACCTCCCACCTGATCTTGCGGGTTGTGCTCTGCCTGGGGCAGACAGCAGAAGAGCTGGGGGGATGTGCTGATTAAGAGGCCACCTTCACCTGCCCCGGGCTCTGCAGCGGGCCTGCGGGTTTCTACTGCAATCAGCCATCTGTCCTGTTACCTGCGTAGGGGTGGACACGGCAGCTTCAGGGCTCCGTTCCCTACACCTTAGGTGTGGAGAGAGTTCCCGCTGGTTATTTCTGTAGGAACTGTGGCCACTGTCTCTCCCCTTCCTGTACACTGCTGAACACCCCCTGTATATATTTAGAGATTTCCCTTCTGAGTGAGTCAAAGGAAAACGTTTCCCCATTTTAGTTGGAGATTTGAACATTTTAAATTTCCTTTTTGTTCTTGTCAGTTGCAGCACATGCTTTCCCTTCTATTTCTCATTTCCATGCTCAAAGCAGGCCTCTGCCTTTGTTCTCTTTGTGGGAACTAACTTAGTTGCCAGGCAGTAAGGGACCTTCCCTCTGAACTCGCCAAAGCACATCTTTCTGTTGTCAGCTGAGAGGGTTTCCCTCTCTCCTCTCCTTTCTCTGAGGCTGTAGTGTGCTTTGTTCTTAGGCTTCTCAGATACTTTGAGGACACACAGCTTTTCTGAATACTTCTATTTATACTTCATGGCCTCAGATTTATACTGTTTGATTGGTTTCCCTCTCTTTGGGGCCCATCACACAAGTTTTTTCACAGTCCTCAGGCCTCAGTTTTCTCATTTCATTGTAAAAGTAGAATAGACCGGGGGCTCTTCACCTGGGGGGGTCCCTGGACTCCTAGGGAGCGCCCAGATGGACTCAGGTGTGAATCTCTTAAAACCTTATGCAAAATTGTGTGTGCGCCACTCTCCTCCCCGGACCACTGACCTAGAATCCTCAGCTTTTCAGAATTCTCCGCTTCTCGAAGGTTCTATGGTCCAGCGAAAGTTACGAGTCACTGGAGTAGATGATCTTTAAGGATACTTTTTAAATCAGAAATCCTATGAGGATCTCTCACACCAGCTGTCGGAACACCTGAAAACCAAGGCTGGGTGCCAGCCAGCAAACTGTGCTCCCATCTTGGGGAAGCTCGGTAAATACTGGATGATGCTAATGGTGACAATTTCCAAGACCATCTTCCCCTTTACTTTCTTGACAGATTGTCCTAAACCTTCTTGGCCAAATTTATACCCAACAAAATCCAAGAACTTGACTGAAAATTCTGAACTCTTGGGCATTTTGTATGTTTTTGTCCAATTTGTTAAGTTGTCCCTCGAAAAATAAATATACTTTCATTTTTTCCATTGTGGAGGTCCACAGATCTATCCCAAACCCCCTACTTGAAATTTTGTATTTGTTCTTCTCTCTCCTTTTAACTGAAACGCACATAGGATTTTTAGCTCATCACAGACTAACAAGAACTTTAATTCTCTTGTCTGAATCTTTTGTTTATGGACAGTGAAGCTGCCAGAGAAGGGAAGTGATTCACCAAAGACACACAGCAGCTGAGCTGGGGCCAGAGCCTGGCGATGCTGACTTTCAGTGCAGCACTCTTTCCAGGGAGTCTGATCCTGGCTTCCTATAAACACCCCCTGCACTTCATGCACCGCCTTCTGAGAATGTCTGCCTAAAACATGAGCAGCCAACCCAATGTGATATCGGTTAGGGAGTCCACAGAGGAGTGAAGAAGAGTCAGACCCTTTCACAAGGAAGTGCTCCCACGTCTGCAGAGAATGGCACAGACAGGCTGTCCAGGTGACTCAGGAGAAGGAAAGCCACAGAGGAGGGGCCAGCACCAAGTAGGGAATTCTTGCGACCAATTAGCAAGGGTCACAGGACTTGAGGAAGATGACCAGACACAAGGTTAGGAGGCGCTGATCAGTATCTGTGTCTGAGATTTGCTCCTGGCCCCTTCTCTCCACCTGTGACACCTAAGCCTCACCCAAACCAGGGGCTCAGGACTCCCCACCCCCTACCACATTCCTACCCCTGGGGCCTTGGCTGGGTCATCTGTTTGCCTTGAATGCTGCCCTCTTGCTGTTTACCTATCATAAAACTCCCAGCTCTTTAAGCCCCAGATCAAAAGCCACTTTTCTCCAGAAGTCTTTCCACCTTCCCCCTCCTATTGCCTATTATTTCTCCCCTTCTTAAACTCTGAGTGAACTGTCGGTGGCCCTCATTCCCTGTCTACATTGTAAGGATTTGTGAACATGCCTTATCCCCCTCGTGGAGAGCATACACTCCTTTAGTTGGGGGTCCGTCATTTTGTATCTTCGCTTTCAAAACGCAACATACATTTATTGAGCATCTTCCACGTATCAGGTGTCCTGGTCCCTCATACTCTAGTGACAGACAGACAAAGGGACCAATACGGTAGAGCTGATAAGTGCCTGCTTAGGTCGGGTGCAGGGGGCTGTGAAAGCACAAAGTCCAGCCCTTCATTCAGTCTTGCAGGGGGAGGGAAAAGTTGTTAGGAAAGGCTTCCTGGCAGAAGTATCATCTAAGTGGAGAAGTGCAGGACAGATGGGAATTTTCCAGGCACATAAGCAGGGGAGGCTTTGGCAAGTGAGGCTGGCTTGCTGTCTAAATGACCAGATCACATGGGGCCTTCTAAGCCCATGAGGGAGGACTTTCCTGAGAGCCAACGGGAGCCTCCAGTGATATTTGTCCCTCTCTGTCTCCTGTAGCACTTAGCACAGTGCCTGGAACATTCTAGACGCATGAATGAAAGAGGAAATGGTCATAACATTTCTGAATATCTTTCAGTTGAGGCTCTCAGGCAAAATCCCGTCTACTTACCAGTCAGATACTCAACCGAGCTTCCCAACAGCAATGACAAAACTGAACTATTGGTCCCCGCCCCAGCAAGGACAAGAGCGGCTCGCATTTTCCAGATAACACAAATTAGTCTGGAATGCCTTTATACAAATCAGCGACGTGGCCTGAGGTCACGTCATGCTGCCTGGGCCACCAGAGAACACCTGTCATTCAAGTCCTTCCCATCTTCAGCTCTGTCATCCCAAGGGGCCTCCAGAGGCAGACAGCTTCTTTTTGAGGACCTGGTTTCCTGGGTTGCCGTCCCGCTCCCAGTCATAGGAGGGGAAGGCAGAGGGGACTGGGAGAGAGTGTGTGGGCATGAGCCCTTGTCACACCACCTCCCAGCTCCCAGCAGGGAGCGAGGCCAGGCCTGTGGAGAAGGGCTCGTGCTGGAGAAGCAGCAGAAAGGGAGGGGACAGGAAGGGGTACACGCAGGGTCTGGCCCATCAAGACAGGAAAGTCCATTTTCAAGAAGCCTGGCCTTCCGTGTGGCCAGCACATCCCCTCCTCTCCCAGTTAGGAAGAGGGAGGTGTAGACCCCTAACCTCGGCCAAGTGCCCCGCACACTTCCTGTACACATGGGGTCCTGGAATCGAGCCGCGATGACTCACCGCTGACAGCGAGGGCTCCAGCACCGTGGGCTGACTTAGAACGTTTACAGAGTTGTTCCTGTGTCGAGACATTTACTTCTTTTCAGCCGGCCACGTCACCCGCTCCCCTCCAACAAACTACTCTTTCCTTGATCAGATGCACCCTTCTCTCCCTCTCCCAACACGCATTCCAGGAACACCTGCCCCGAGGCCAGGCAGGGCCTTCCCCAGACACTGCTCTTTCCTCAGCCCTACCCTCAGCGCCGCAGGCCTCTGCTCCTGCAGCCCCGGAGCACACCTCCACCACCGTGCCCGCCATTCTCACCGAAACCGAGCACAAGGCTTCTCAAGGGCAGGGACACCATGACCCCTGGACCCTGCCCAGAGGCTGCTGTCTACAGGCCTAGCATAAATACACTGAGTCAGTAAGTGACACCTGGAAGGGTAACTGGGATTGCAGGTCTGAGGATCAAGCACAGTCTGCCGTGGGCATGGTATACAGGAGATAATAAGTGGTTTGGAGACATTGTCAAGAATTCCATCTGGTTCAAAAAAATATTTCAGAATGTTCTCAGTTCTCAGTACCCAAAGCGGATAGCTTCCATTTACAGAGCGCTGACATGTTCCGTTCCCAGCCCCTGTGCTTAGCACTTCACGTGCATGACTGTGTGGAATCCTCTCAACCAGATTATGGGGTAGGTGTTACCATCTCTATTTTACAGATGAGGAAACTGAGGCCCAGAGAGTGGAAGTAACTCCCAAGTCACTGGACAGGAGAGGTGAGCCGGCATTCAAACCTGGCTACTTCGGTGAAGCTGCCCAAAATTTTGTCTTCTGTGGTATTAAACAGCATAGCCCAAATTGGCACCAGGATCTAACTGCCAAGTTCACCTCTGCCCGCCCCCAATTTTTCAGCCCTCAAAACACCCTAGGGCCACCTTGGTCCAAACCCTAAAATCTTTGCAGCTGACCCCGAGAGAAAATGGGACACACCTAAAAACCTGGCTTACCCATTCAAGGACACCAGCCCTGGGCCTATACGGCTCCCCCACCCAGAACCAAAAGGCATTGCTCATCAGTGAACAGAGGCCCCGCGCTCCCACACAAACATGAGACAGGACGAAGACCTGACAGGGCTGGGCACTGGCAGGCAGAGTGCCACAGGTTATGGAAACAAAGCGCGTCGCACACAAAACCAAACCACACGGAGCCAAACCGAAGCCTGGTGTTCTCAGCTGTGTTAGAGCAAACCGAGGATGATCTCCAAAGCATGGCTGGGCCCTCCTACTCATGGGCTTTTGCACCAGGCCAGGAGGTATCCAATGTAGAGGTCACTGCTGAATCACTTCGAGAGGCCAGAATATAGGCTGTCCTTTGCCTCCAACTATCCCAGCCCTGACACCTTAATGGATGAGACCTCCATTCCCTCCTGGGTCATATTTTTGTTCCCAAGCAAGCCAATGGGTCGCACGGGCATCCACCCAGCTGGGGGTGAGACGCCTGGCCCACCCTGCCGACCGAGACGCCAGGGCACACACGGTCATGCTGCAGGCCTACCTGGCTCGCACCAGTCCGAGCGGCCTTCCTCTCGGCCTGCTCGCCACCTCTATGCAGCTCTGTGTGCTTGGCCTCCCTTCCCGGGAAAGGGCTACCCAGGGCCTGGCGGGGCCGGCTCTCCTCAGGGCTGTGGAGCTCTGCGAGTCTCTGTTCGGTGCTCAGGCACCGGACCACGTCTGAAGGTCTCAGGCAGCTCTTCTTAGAGATGGCGGGTCCACCTGGGCATGTCTCACCTGCCTCCCTCTCTGCTTTCCTCTCATGTGGTCCTCTTTCTTCTCGCCACGGCTGCTGCCTACCCTGGCTGCTAAAGGCGTCACTAAGCTCCGAGATGACCCTGTCAGAACTCCCAAGCCGCAGCTGGGAGAAGCTATCCTGGTGGAGCCCCAGAGGTGACACGTGGGTACCACTGTCTCCGTTGACTTGGAGGGAGCCCTGGGCACCAGGCACCAGGGAACAGGCTTTGTGCGGAGGAGGCAGGGCCAGTGGGGAGACTGCCGAGTGTAGGGTGGACCGGTCCGACCAGCTTGAATGGGGGAGGCTGAGGGACAGGGAGGGGCTGGGCCTCGCCAACCAGGCCAGGGAGTCAGTGCTGTAGACAGAAGCCTCGGGCAGAGGAGGCAAGGGTGGGGTCAGGGCCAGAGGGCGCCTGCCCGGGACCCCTACAGTCAGCGAGATCCACTCAGAGGTGACAGCCTGCATCTCAGGGGACAGGGCTCGGTGAGCGTGGGGCAGAGATGAGGGGGCTGGCATGGTGAGCTTGCTAGGACCAGGAAACTTAAAGAAAAGAGAGAGAGAGGAAAACAAAAGAAGCAAAAGGCACAAGTGTCAGCATAAAGAAGAAAGGAGGAAAATAATCACAAGGGACAAAGGAGAGGAATGAAATGGAGAGGACGAGCAGGACAGTCTGGTGTCCAAAAAAGAAACGGATCGGTTAGGCTGGGAGGGAAACTGCGACGTGGGTGCGTGTGTGCGGATGGGCGAGTGTGTGTAGGCAGGTCAAGATGGGAGACGTGCCTGGGAGGGAGACGGGAGAAAAGGTCCCATCCAGGTTGGTACAGATGGTGCCAGCTGGTTTGCAGAATCAGAGTTTTAAAGGGGCCCCCTGGAAGCCTCCCGCCCCACCCCACATAACCACCTCTGCCAATGAAGCCCTGACCCAGAGCCATGAGGAGAAAAGGCGCCTGGCTGAACCACTGGGTTGTACACCTGAGGTTAATATAATATTGTATGACAACCATACCTCAATTTAAAAAGTTTAAAAAGGCCTGCCACTACTGCCCAGGCCCTACCTGGGGTTTTATTCTCTCTAGGGGGCTCAGCAAAGAGCCTTCCAGAGAGGTATATGCACACTCTAGTCATCTTGTTTTACAGTTGTGCTTGGCTATAGTCAAGTGAAAAATCTAGTTGAATTCCCCACGTTCCTACACAGCAGAAAGCCCTGCACCCATCTCATGCCCTCCCCACGAGACCACAGGGTCTGGATCTCACTGTGCAGGACGCCCCGGGTCAGCCCATCTCACGCCTTTTGCCAAGAACCATTTCCTAGGGGGTCAGCAATGGCAGGCGGGAGAGGAAATGATTGGAGAATGAGAGAAAAGGCCATTCAAGTGTCATGCTAGTCCCTGGGTCCTGCTCTCATTCCTTTGGCCACCCTTCCTGTAACTTACCCCAGGGGTATGGTCAGTCTATGTCAAAGGAAGTCATCCTACTGTTCCTCTCCTGTACCCGAGGTCTGATTTTTCTCTTGGCTTTGGGAAAGTGGGGATGGGTCTGGAGTAACTTATATTTTAAAACAAGTTTATTCATAATTAATGTTCAGGGAAGCAAAGATCCTATTATGCCTCTAAATCTACTTCCTTTCAGCCCAGTATAGACAGAGATGCTCTAAGTTCTTTTCCAACCTGGTTCTTGCTTGCAAAGACTCCTCTGAATCTGGTATACGTGCCTAAGGATGAAAATGTGAAATTCCCTCTCTCAATCTTTGTCTTCTGCAGGCCAATCTTGACTAGTAAGATGACCAAGAGAGCCATACTGGCCATGGCATGTATGGTCAAGGGTGGTACCCAGACAACAGCCTCACCCTGGATGGGATGCTCCCAGGATGGTGGTTGTTGTTTTAAACTTAGATTTATTTATTTGTTTTTATTTGTTTAGGGGGGAGGTGATTAGGTTTATTTACTTATTTAATGAAGGTACTGGGGATTGAGCCCAGGACCTTGTGCATGCTAAGCGTGCACTCTACCACTGAGCTATATCCTCCCCACACAGGACACAATTTTGGACCAAGTGGTAATGACTCTTACTTCTCTTTCCCTAATCATCTTATCCCCAGAGAAATCAATCACCTTAAGCACTTCTTCTCCCTCTGAGATAGTTCTCCCACCAAGTTCCTGAAAAATGCCATTTGTACACATGAAAACAAACCCTGGTGCGTACACGCTGCATGGCTGGAGACGGTTCTTAATCACAGTGCTGGGAAACTGCCCCAGAGGGGCTGTGAGCCATCAGCACTGAGGTTTGTCAGGCTGAGGGTGAAAACCAGTGGCGAGAAGCTTAGGTACCTGAGGGCTTGCAGTGGCACTGCGGCTTGGGGAGGAGGAGAAAGGCAGGTCGATGTAATCCACGGGGTTTTTCACCAGTGGCCGTTTGATCACGTCCACATAGGTGATGGGGAAGATGCCTTGCCGGGACGTCCCCGGGATCCTCCCTTCGTACCAGTTCTCGTCCACCTGTCGAAGCAGTGTGATCCTCTCGCCCTAAAAGACACAGCAAGGCAGGGGTCCTTGTCCTACTGGGCCTCAGCACGACGGAGGCCCCTGCCTGTACCCTGTGCTGTCCTGCATTATTTGTCTCCTCCTTTGTTCAGAAAAACCTTCCTGGCTAGACCTGGATGGAATTAACGGCACTGGGGTGGAGATGCTAACAGCAGTAGAGCTACCTGGATGCTGTTCAGCTCGGTCTTTAAATATTTTGATAAAGGAGAAGGTCAAATTCATTCCCCAAAGCTAACAGGCAAATGTAGGGTTTCGGATTTATCTAAGGCAAAATAGACAGATATCCAATCTTCTCAAAGGGAAAGGTTTTGGGGGTTCTTTCTCTTTTTACGAATGACTATTTTTTCCTGTATCATTACAGAAAAGTTAAAACACAACCATAAGGCAGAACATAATCATTACTCATGATATTATCATTTGGGAGTAACCACTGTCCATATTTTGGTATAGATAATTCCATGAGAATTAGATTTGCACATACTTTTTCCTTAGGAAAACTGAATAGGCACTGTGTTCCCTTTTCCAACCTACTTTTTCATACTTAATAACAGAGTGAATCTCCTCCTTTATCAAGAAATACCAGTCTACATTTTTAACAGCGTTGCACAGCTCAATGGCCACTGCAGGATGCTCTATTGTACACACATATAATGGCTTAATTATTGGTCTCCTGATGGAGGGAAATCATGTTGCTTCCGGCGTTTCTCTTTTCTATAAGGGAGCTCATCTTTTCCCAAGGCGTGTACTCACTTCCTTCAATCCTCAATAAAATTAGTAACTTTAATAACTTCAGCCAGCCAGAGAATGTGCATACGTAAAGAGAGCGTGTGAATTCCTAGAAGAACAGTATCTCTGCACAGCCTAACCGTGCTCAGAATAAGCGTGCTGTGCGCCTTGAAGGCAATGGTAACGCTGGCGTCTCCTGTCCACTAAGCATCAACCAGATGCCATGTGTCATATTGAGCGTTTCAGTGAATCCTCTCACAACAGCTCTAGGAGAGGGCCATTTATCTTCATTTCATATATGAGGAAATCATGGCTTGGAAAAATTTAACTTCTCAAACTACATGGCCAACACCCCTGCCAGACCAACTGCCCTCCCTATGCCACATGCCCAGGAGAAGAGCGCCCCCCAGCGTCCCCCTACCCCCCAGGCGAGGGATGAGAGGGTGGTTTACCTTTCTGAAGGACATTTCTACTTGCGTGTCACCGTTAAAGTTAAACTTGGCGACGGCTTCGCCGTATTCCAGGATCTGCACTGGTGTCAGCTTTTTGGGCTGAGCCTTCTCAGCGGGAGGGAGAAGCTGAGAAAGGGAAAGGGAGGCGAAGGAGAAGGGAAATGAGAGGAAAGCAGGGAAATGACAGGAAAGAAGGAGACGAAACACAAGTTAAGTAAATGTTGCGCTGGGCACGACCGGGCTACTCCTTAGAGAGAAGGGCTGTGGTACCTCAATGTAGGTGCGTGGGAAGATCCCCACCCGGCCGTGGTGCTCTCCTTCGTACCAGTTCTGATCTATCTGCTTACAGATGTAAACGATGTCTCCCTTCTGCAGCGGAAGCTCCCTGGGGGTAGAGGGTCACAGCATTTTAGTGGACGTTCCTATAGGTGTAATATTACAATGCTCAAAGCAACAAGGGCCTACTGCACAGTACAGAGAATTAGATTCAATATCTTGTGATAACCTATAATGAAAAAGAATATGAAAAATATGTGTTAAGCTGAATCACTATGCTATACACCAGAAACTAAGATAACATTGTAAATCAACTATGCTTCAATTTAAAGGAAAAAAAGATGTTCAGTGTTTTAGTAAAAGGAGACTTCAAATGAGGTCAAAGGGGTCAAACTACAGAAGAGGGGGCTCTGTATTTGGAAGCGAGAACCCTGCTATTCAGGAAATTACAGCACATTTGGCATTTTCCCAGTCTTTGGTGGGCTGAAGGTTAACTTTCAAGCTGACTACCACTCAAAAGTGCTCAGATGCCTCATTAGTTTGCTGCTGCCTGAATGTATTTTTGGTCAATGTTGTCTTATGCTCAGATATTTATGCAACACACAGCGATGCACCCAGCAGTCTTCACTGCTTTGATTAAATGGTGAAAAATGTTTCCTTCTAGGTATTTTCACTGCCCTTGTCTATGCCCTAGCACGGCATGACCTCATTACCCATTACATTTGAAATACCTTCAAATTATGTGTGACAAACTGGTATCCTTTTGTCATTCTATCCATTCAGACATCCATCCACCTATCCATCTATCATCATGTAGCAGAGACAGGCTCTGAAATGACCAGATCTGAGTTCAAAATCCAGTTATACCATCTACTGGCTCTGGGACCTTAGGCAAGATACTTCATCTCTATGAGATACTTTCTTTATCTGAAAATAGGAGCTAACTCAGGGTTGTTGGAGAATTTGGCAACAAACTACAAATAAAACAGCCAGCGTGGTTCCTCTCGTATAGTTAACAGTAAATGTTCCTGTGCTTCCTTTTCAACACAGAAACGGGATCTTGGAAAGAAAAGTGGATTTTCCTTCAAGTGTTCTTCATGCCTTTTTTCAGCTTTTTCACATCCTTTTGTTTGCCTCAATAATGATATGATAACCTCTAACCAGGACTTCATTTGAAAAAATGAAACAAAAAGATAAATTATAAAAATAAACGCTGTAACTTGAAGTTATCTTGAATTAAAAAAATGACCCAGATCTTTTCCATTTGCATCAAACCATAGCATGGAGAGCAAGATCTCTGACTGCAGCCTGGAGGAGGTGTGCCCGCCCTGCAGTGTGCCAGGAAGTCCCACGGTGCATGAGGGACGCTGGCTAAACTGCTGCGGTACATCTGGAAAACCTCACGCAAAGTCAGCACTGTGCTGGATGAAAGAACAAGGCAGCCCATGTGGGTCTCCCAGCGGCAGGCAGGATTCTAACCCAAAAGAGGCCCATGAAGGGGATCTGGGGCATCCGTCTCCATAAGAATGAAGGGTCTTCAGCCACATTTTTGCCATAGCCCTCCTTGGGAGGGTTCTGAATTCCCCCCTCCCTTCACCCCCAACTATGGACACATGGATGTGCAGGACTGGCAGCCCTGCAGTCCCTTGGTTTCCCCATCAGCACAACGTGAATGATAATCACACCAACCCCATAGGGGTACAGTGAGAGCTGAATGAGTTAACATATGTAAAGTACTCTGAACGGTGCTTGGCACATAGTAAACGCAATAAAACTACTGTTTTCTTTAATTATTGTTGTTATTTCTTCAACTCTTCTGTGTGGACTTCTGTGTTTCAAAGAGGGAGGTAAAATAAATGAATAGGACTGGTGGCACTTACTTTAGTGTCTGAGCTTTAAAGTCATACTTGGCTCTGGCAGGTCTCATCTAAACACAAGAAACAATGACAAGTTAAAATCACAATTCACGTACAATGGAAAGGACACATTTTTACACGTTTCCGGAAAGCAAAGCAGAAAAATCCACCCTAACCAGTTTACTCTGGTGTAGAGACCTGGGCAAAATTCCGTTTGTCTGACCTTAACAGAACATGAGATGGATGTCTGGTCAACTATGCCATGCATGAGCATCTCCCTAAGGAGGGCCAGATTTGGGGAAGAGAGTGTTAGAAAAGTCCTAAAGCTGAAATGCTGGCTCCCAAAGCTGACCACGGCTATTAGAAACACAAACAGACGAAAAACAGTCAGCCAGAGGCCCAAAGCCGTTCCTCATCTACTGTCTTACTCTTTGGGTAATGTATTCTATTGGCCTGGCTTAAACCGCGACCTGCATGTAGATGAAGCCTTGAAGAACCTCTCACATCACCTCCAACTGTATTTATTTCTCATGGTCTGTGAAATCACCCGAAAAGCCAGACAGAGAAAGCCTTGAGCTCAGGCTCCCGTTCTCGCTGGGGAGCCCTCTCCTCCCAGACCTCACAGCCCCAGCCTCCACCTTCTCATCAGGTCCGCCATTCAGTCATGCCAGCCCTCCCGCTGTTCCGCCACAGCCCCACTCTGGCCTGACCTCTCACTCTTACAGGCACAAAGCTTCCTTTGACTTCAGATCTCTTCGCGCTAATCTAGGGTCACTCGGCAGCACAAACAACATTCCTCAAATACCTCCACCACATCACTTCCCGCTTTGAGGCTGGCAGAGCCTCTCAACTGTCCCTCAGATCAACTCTGACTCCTGAGCTGGGGTAAGGCCTGGGGGTCACTGCTCCCCACTCGCACCTCACAGCCTTTGTCTCCCGTTACACGCTTCCTGCCCCAGGTAGGCAAACCTGTCTGCTGCGCCTTGTCTAGACACCCCTTCTGTCTGGAATTTCTCCATCTCCGATTCCAGCAGACAGAGCAGAAAGTTCACCTTCACTTATGATATTTATTTGCACATCTCTTCCCCACCATTAGAAGTAGTTATTTTAACTACTTTTTGTAAGAGAAGGATGGAGGGGAGAAACTACGTGAACGCACTGGCACTGGCTGCTGGTGGGCTTCTTCCCCAGACACAAGCCCCGACTGTCAACTGCTATGACTTTCTGGTCTAGGGAATGATGTGATGAGAATTAAATTACATACATCCTCTTTGCTATCAGAAGGCATGAACCAAGCAGAGAGGAAAAAATGGGAGACTCTAGGTGAGGAAAAAAAATAGTATTTAGAAGCTTCATCAAGCTTAGTTTTAGAGCTCGACCCCTTAGAGAAAGGCCCCTAAAGTCCAGGCTCCCCCAGCTGGGGTTTCGACAGGGTCTCCTTAACAGCGAGGAACTCTCCACAGGAGTTCCTAATTTTGGCATTTTCATACTGATGTTTTAATCTATCTACCTGTATGCGTACACCGTAGAAGTTGACCTTATAATCAATGTCACAGAATTTCAATGCCTGCATCTGTGTCCGTCTGTGACCAAAGAGCATAATCGAACAGTTGTAAGCAAATAAGAAAAACAAACATGGAGTTAACGATAAATGGCAAGTTCACAAGAGAAGGCCAGCATTATAAGGACAAAAACTTCAACATGATTCCAATAAAAAAAAAAAAAGACTGGGGGCATTATCTCAAGGCAGCCAGCTGCAGAGCTGTGTGAACTTTCAAAAATGTTACCAAAATAGGACTGTATCCATACTCTGAGTGGCAACCGAGTGCAGGCAAAACAAAATCATCTTTCATCTAAGTTAACAAAATTATATAGGTGTATGGCTTACTATTTAATTTGTAAATTGGCTTAGGTCAACCCAATCGGGTTGGTGAAAATTTTTTTTTTCATTGAAGAGAATCCATACATGACTCAAGACTGAGAAACACTGATTCCACTGACCTCTTAAGATACATTGAGTTGTCACTGCCTTACAAAGCACCTTCTCCCTGTTTATCTTCATCTGTCCCCGAGGCCAAATCCATCTTTCCCTCCTCTGGTTCCCACAGCATTGTGTCACTTACTGCAAAAGCGGTAACTGTTACACGAGGGTGCCTCTTCCACTAGAGGGCCAGCTTCCCAAGGGCACAGTCTGGGTCCTGTTTCTGCCCGCCTCCCAGGGTCTTGCACGGAATCAGTGGCCACCTAAACTCTGCTGAATGGGACAGAAGCACATCTACAAAGCCCGGTGCACCTGGGACTTGCTGGTCTCTTTTTCCTCATGTTTGTCAACATCTAGGGCAGTGATTCTCAAAATGAGGTCCCTGGACGGCTCAGAAATGCAAAGTCTCGGGCCCTGTCCCAGAACAGGAAACTACAGATAGGGCCCAGCAAACTGTGTTTCAATCAGCCCCTAAGGGATTCCGATGTGCTCACGTTTGAGAGCCACTGCTCTAGAAGAGAGGCGGGGCCGCTCAGGCAGAGTTTGCCTGCCTCTGCCCATGGTTATGGTGCCCTGGTCGCATTTCATCTGCTGTACTATCTACATGTGAGAGGATGCAGCCCGAAGGGCCTCTGCTCGTCCTCATCTTCTCCATCACTTGTAACCAGGCAGGCCTGTGAATGAGGATGACCCATCATCAGAACCTTCAGAACAGGCTGGTTTGGAGGGGCTGGAATGCTGGGGGCTGGGGGCTGCCATTCCCTTGCTTCTGAGTAACTCTCGATAACTTCTGCCTCTTCCTAATTACATTTTCTTTTTCTCCATCACCTTAGAGTCTCCTTCCCCTCCCTGGCTTTCCTTCTTTTAATCTAGTTCCTTGTTTTCTCTCTTTGTCACAGACACCTATTTCTTTAAAACCCAAACCATTTGATGAACAGCCAGTGGTACCTCTGTCGCTCAAAAGATAGAGACATGAATATTAATTAGCTATTATTTGGAAAGATTCCAAGACTGTATACACTTCAGCGTCACTCCCCCGTCTCCCCACCCACCAAGCCCCAGACACATACACTTCCCCAAAGGAGCTAATCTTCAGCAGGGCTACTTAAGGGTCACATGACACAAAAGATGCTGGGGCAAGAAGCAGCATCTGGCCAGCACAAGAATTTCAACATGTTGACCCTCTTGCAGGAGGTGAAAGCCTAGATAAAAATCACTTCAAAGGCCTGTGCTTCCTCATTCTTTTATAGTATTAGGTTTCACAATCTCAGCTGAGGAACGTCAAAATTAACGGAACAAAGGAAATTGCTCTCAGAGAGCTCTTACCCTCCCGCCATGGCTTCTCCTAGCCGCAAAACTCTTTGGGTTTCAAAATTCTTCATTTAGGCTTCAGCACTTTTGACCCCATTAGTCAATTAATTCACCGTCGGACACTGAGCGGCAGTATTGTATGTAATACAAGCTCCTCTAAACCATCCCTTCAAAGAAGACTCTTGTAATTGTCCACACCGTAGCTACTAATGCATATGGACTAAGGTACAGGTCTCTAAGCAGAATGCACAGGCAACACAATGTGATAAAATGCGGGATGGAGAGGACCGGACTCATGAAGGGCAGCCGATGCTCTAAGGCATGCATTTGGGGTGTGTGCCAGCAGACCCCGGTCCTACAGCCAGGCATGCTTGGACATACAGAGTACAGGACATAATGGGCATCATGTCCACCGACCAGCCAGAGAAGAGCCAAAGCAAGCCAGAGGGAAGCCAGGATGATAGATGCTGTCTGGAGAACTAACTTGGCCTACAGAAGGCAATGCTGAGGCGGGGCAAATATTGCTTTGGGTCAAGCAGCAGATCGAGGTGACCAAAACAGACCTCTGACCCAGATTTCCTTTTTGCCGTATCGTCTATATTGAGGAGGTCCCCAAAGCGCTCATTAGTGATAAACTGATGGTGCGTTGGAATGACGCCCGTGTGGCGTCGAGCTGCAATATCGGCCTCTTCTTGCTCGCGCTTAAGTCGTCTCTGGTCCGCTAAAAGTTTCTGCCATGAAATTGCACAAAATGGGCTGTGAATCATCTGGTCCAGGGTATTAGAAAACTGCCAACAAAAACAACTAAGGGAAAAGGTGCTGGGTCAATAGGGAGGAAACA